TTAAAACTGTCATTTGCGTAGGAATAAATAATAAATCAAAGGAGAGAAGAGGTCCAGGAATAAAATGGTAAGGTGCAAAAGTAGCTTAAACTTTAATTTTGTAAATAATTTAACAATAAATGGTTGGATAAACTGTATAATAATGGCACGCAGTCCTTAATAGTTTACGCTTTTCATTTTATTTTTTGGCAACTGGTTAGTTTAAACCAGCAAACCCTTGCATGTTTAACAAACTAATCCAAACAAACAAATCTTAAACCTTAGGTTTTGTCACACAAAGTAGACTCATCACATCTGCGCTTAGATATAGAGTCACATCTTAGACTTAAAGTAGACATCACATCTTAGATGCTTGCACTAACAAACGACTAAATTCCACCCCCTTTTGTAAATATTTTTCTAATATATGCATTTAATATAATATCGCACGGGTTTGGAGGTTTCATATTTCAATAAAGTTGGTTACTTCAATTGTAAAACGTTTTCAGGTATTGTGTTTAGCAAAGTTAAATTCACCAGCGAAGAAGGTAGTTAGTTCATAGTATACATTCTTCAAAACGGCTTTTAAATAATTAACATAAAAAGTGGCAGTTAATGGGGGCAAAGGTTTGTTTCTTGGAATTTTGGATTTAAGTTTTTTATGGATATTTTCCATAGTCAACAAACGACTAATTGGTGGTTTCTATGGACAGTAATAAATACAACTCTTTGTTAACAAACGTTTATTTCCAAAGTAAATAAATATTGGTAGTTGGTATATTGGTAAATTAATAATACTGGTAGAAAAATAAGTAAAAAACGAGCTCAATTACTGTAATTATCAAGGTTTGAAAATAACTTTATAACACGGTAATAACTTTAGTACTTATAGAATTTCTTTTAACATCAATGTTAATATAATTTTTTTCAAAATAAGATAACTTTTCAAAAGTGTATAAAACCTTACCTATGTTAACCTTGTATATAATTAAACATTTTAAACTAGGTTTCATAATTTGAAACTATTTATTTTTAAGTACATTGGTTCCTAATGATTTTAAATTATATGCCTCATGTGCATGTAACGACTGCTTTAAAAACATACTTTTCTTAGTCTTCACCTTAGTAATGTTAAATATATTTTGTCCATACTGAATTTCCACAACAAATAACACAAACAATTTAATTTCATTACATAAACATTTTAATGTTTAAGTGAATTATTTTGTTTCAACAATAATTATAATTTTACATACCCATTTAAGAGTCAAACTGAAATTCGCTTTTACATAGTTCAACTTTCTTATAGAATGTGTACAACGTAGCCTAGATAGTTAGATATGTAACCATGAGTGATTAATTATCCTGCACTAAAAAGTAAAAAATATATAACCACTTGTTCTATAATACATAATAATGAATAAATAACAAAAATATAATATCGTATGAATAAAACACATAAATTATGTAAGACACACACAAACACACACGCTAGGGAGGTAAGTAGTGTATAGTGTATCGTGTATAATGTATAGCTCCCTCGTGCAAGAATGTGTATGTTAGTGTATGTGTATATGTATGTAAATGTTATGTCAGAGCATGTAAACTATACACTGCATGTTGTATGTGAATGGTATACTAGATGCATTTTGTTAATATAAGATAGCTAACACTCTTTGTAAATTGACGCTTCTCTCGACTTTTGATCACTCTATTTTATGTGATCACAATTTATCGAAATATTAGTGCAGACGAAACGTGTGCTAATAAATAAATAGTTAATCTAAATTATCAGATATAAATATAAATAGATTTGATAAATTAAAAATTGTGATCATATAGCAGTGTTTTACGTGCTAATATGTAAATATTTTCTGTAAATAAGCTGTTTTGTTTGCTGATTACCTTTCCCATAAAGTAAAAAACCTAATCTAATCTAACTCAACAACCGTATGTGAAGGTAAGTAAATAAATAAGTAGAATTTTTATCGGTCGCAACGATAATATTTAAATGATAATACGTTTTCATCTGTAGTCACGTTACACTGTCATTTGGCTGCTACGACTAGATCGTCCTTAAATATTAAGTATAATGATTATACAAAGACATTATGATCCAAACCAGGTGTAATATTCATTTGACTTGCATATAATTTAACCCCGACAAATATTAATACAAAATGTATTGGTTTTGCACAAACTAAGTAAATTAGATACTTTCAATTAATGTATAAAATTTAGAAGAAACTTAGCATCTGGCAACAATAGTCTTGATGATAATAAAAAAAAATTAAAATGGCCATTTAATATACAGGGTGTTCAAAAAAGGAGCGGACAAAATTTACGTAGCGAATCCTTGGGTCAAAATAAATAGAAAATTTAACAATAACATTTTCTCCAAAATTGCTTTGTTATCCAGATATCCGCCATTTTGTATTTTTTACATAAACATTTTTATCTTTGAGTTTTTTTAACCGATCTTTATGACACTTGGTATGTATGTTAAAGTAGAAGAGGCCCATTGTAGAAAAGAAAATTCATCTTGATTCAACTAGAAATTTCAAAATGGTGGCCATTTTAATCTTTTGAACTTAAATTACAAAAAAAAGGTAGATTTGATGAAAAGATGCTACGTACTTATTTAGCATTTAAAATTCCCTATCAAACGATACCAAGGTTAAAAAGATCAAATAAGAAATAGGTTAAATATAACGAGTTGTAAAATGGGGCAAACCTGACTAGTTCAACTTTATTCTACCCCATAAATCTATCTATACATAAATTATGTCCCCACCCATTTTGAACATCCTTTATGCATATTATATTTAGTTAATTTGGTGTATAAATAACGAGAAGAGCCTGATGATGCCACCAAAAGCGAAAAAATACGCAAAAAACTTAACCTATAAATCAAGAACCGAGGCAATCATTAATAATAGAATTTTTAATAGTTTTGAATCTAAATTCTTCTAAGATGAAATAGGCTATGTTATCGCGCAAAAACAATTCAAAGCTTTTGATTACTTGTATTAGATAAGCAAGAAATGTGCATAATAGGATATATGCTTTATATAAATGAACAATAACTGCTTTAAATTATACTTAATTTTGTAAGTATTTGGTATACCTTTTCTTTTATTGTAGTTTCTAATGAAAAGAAGATTTATAATAATTTTAGTTAAGAGATTAACTGAACATGAACACCGAAACGTATGCTATTTTATTTTGAGTACCATATTAAATTTGATAGCCTTAATAAACCAAGAAAATAACCGGAAACGTTCTAAAACCGTCAAATAATCTTAAATCATAAATACAATCAAATAATAAATGGTGATACAAAACAAATCATCCTTCATTTCGTTTATAAAAACACAAATAAACTAAATTAAACTAATTATAATATTTCTCACAGCTTACCGAATCTATGTTATCTTCTTGAAACTGAAATCATCTGGTTCAGTGGAAATAAACATGTTTGGTACAAACCTACATACAATCAGATTAGTAATCTATTTAATTAATTCATTTCAATGACAAACAATAGTAATAGCCTTCCTAAATATCAACATAACACGATTAAATTGACCAATGATTTTTCTTAACGTGATATAGCTGTTTCATTAATCATGTTATAAAAGTTGTTGATAAAATAATAATATTGTGACTACCATTTTGGATATTCACTAATAGTTTTACTCGTTCCCAGTTTTTGTAGGAAACATTTATTGTTAGTTTAGAGTTTGATACTGACTTATAAAACACTACATTTTAGCGTTACATTATCCCTTAATTTTATACATTGAAATTTAATTGTAAACAAACTCCCGTTACTAAAATGTACAAAAGGGCCAACATATTCAACAATGCAGCGAAACCAACAATAACTCGCTTAACATTCCGCTGAACAATTCATTTATTTAATCAAGCCCAGATTAAATACATTTTCAATGAACTAATCGCTCTTTGTTTGTAAAGCTTGCTCATATTACATACTTCAACCCAGCAGAGCAACTATTTTATTGTGAACACCGATGATTTACCAGCAAAGCATTGAATTAGTGGGCTTAAAAACCAGATGGAATATGGAAATTACTTTTATACGGTGATAAAAGACAGTATATTACTTAGTTCAATTTGGTATGATAGTGTAAAATAAAATTACAATAAATATCTTTAGTCAAGTAAAGATCTTTATTTGAATGAAAATGCACATTAAATATGTTCTTCTGAAATCTTAGAATAGATTAAACACTTACTTGTAGAAATGTATGTTAATAGCTTGTAATAGCTTGTTGTTACCAGAGACAGCTAAAGACGAATTTCAGGTTTAGTTCAGTTGATGTAATAGGCTTCTTTTGTGTTTCTAAAACAAATTTTGACCACGGTATTTCAATTGTTTGTAATATATTTGTATAATGTTGTCTATCCCTTGGTATTATATAGAAAGAGTAAAGTAAATATCGCAAATCCATCTGGAAATAAGAGAGACAGATTTAGTCTAGCGCACGCAAACGTCACCAATGTGAAACGCAAATCAGGGCAGGCATGATCATACAATAGGCTGTCTATCTTCATAGACTTGCACTATTCACAATCAACGGAGAAATCCAAACTAAACTTAAGCGCTTTACTTACCTACTGGTTTACTTAATTTTTCGTTCACAAAATTGTCCTGCCTCAAAAGTACCAAAATAGTCTAAGCAGCAATCAATGACAGTGGAACTGAAGGCCCGAGAATAACACGAGAAGCTAAACAGCTTTTTAAACCTAAACCCTACCTAAAATCTACCTAAGTATCGTAATTCCCGCGTAAGACATCGGTTAAGACGCATAAGCAACTAAAGAAACGATATTCAACATTTAAAACACAAAGGAAACATAACAAATAAACATAAACCATCTCTAATTAAACGATTTGGCGTTTCCAGACAGGGGAGCCGAGGACAAAGAGTAGTCGGCTACAGAGAAAGACTGTGAGTTTGCTAGTCTAGGGTAGCAATGTGTGTGTGTGTTTATAGGTAGACCTGCGACATATGGATGAAAAACAGGGCTCCAACATAGTGGAGGTCGGAGTTGACCTGTCGGAGTTTTACATGTCTGTGGAGTGGGACATACTGGAGGTTCCAGCAGTGAGGTTTGTTATTTATTTTTATTCATTGTGTATATACAAATAATTAAGTAACGTAGAAATACAGTTTAATACAGCTGCGGGACTATAGTTATTTGTGTAACTAGTGTGCGAAGTGGCACTTTGTTGCACATGTGGAAGCAACAAAAGGTTTAAATTACCTCCGTCAAGTGATCCTAGATTGTAGTTGGTCGACTACAGCTGTTTCGTGTTCACTAACACATCTTTAGGTCAAATGTTACATTGATTTATTTCACGGAATGGTCGTCATGAGGTTAAAAGTTCACAAATAAAACTTACACGTACACGAAACATTAAACATTAATTAATTGGCCAAAGCACAAATGTAAAGAACGTGAAGTTTACAAAAGACGGACACGTGCGGCGCTAGTATAAGATAGGCGACCTACCTTCTGTAGTCAACCAACTACAATCTAGGATCATTTGACTGATACAGGTAATTTAACCCTTTTGTAGTAAAACTCAGTGATCCAGAGGCTATACCATAAAAATAATAAGGACATGTGGAAGGTTTCTCGAGTGCAGTAAAGGCACTTTACACTCGTGTTACACATTATAGTTTTCCTACAGTTACTATAACGCATAGAAATAATTAGTCTTTCAAACACTAAACACGTTTTAGATTAGGTTAAATCCAAACATTAAACGAAATAGGAAACACTCCACCAGCTGATCGTAGTCGAAGTTTTAGTGTTACCAACTTATTTTCAAGAGTAGCCTACACGTATTAAGTGCCTAATAAAAGCACACTTTTTGTTGTTAGGTTGGGATACTTGAGTGTGCCTAAAGTAAGCAAATGCAGCTACTTTGCGTGCTATAATCAGTGCAAGGAAGCCCACTTTGTCAGGAAACTGTATCAATAAGTAGTTTTTCCATCTAGGGTAAAAAGAATCACTTATTGTCAAGGTACATTTTTCTCAATTTTATAAGTTCATCGCTGATTATGTAGAAGTACTGTATGTAGAAGTACAACTCATTGATAAATATACTATCTTATACATTAAGGCTGAATGGTTGTAGTACTCAAAGACAATCTGAGAAAAGTCAGAAGCTTTTTGATTGTTTGAAACTTGACCCAGCTGTCCTTGTGCATTGGGCTTTTAAAAAGAAACAGCTAGTTTTAGTTAGTGACAAAGCTAAATGGATAATTTTACTTTATTGTACACCAAATTTAAACTCATATTTAGCTAGAAACACATTTACAGAGTACGCCATTCTCAAAGTGAATTATTTAAGTTTGTATGTTTATCATCGTGTCCCACAGTATGTTGTAACTAAGAAATACCCCAACTAGTTTTAAATGTAAAATCAGTAATTAGATTTTATTTTAGTGTAAGTCGAGTAATGACTGTTGAATACTCAAGTGAACACTCAATCTATATGAACCACTCTGTCGCATTTTTTTTTACTAAAAAGAACATGGTTGAGTGAGCCAGTCACAGATTGCACTAGTGTATATTATTATATCTACCTTATTTGTTGTCACTGAGATATATTACTTGATTTAGAAGATGCTTAGTAAGTTGTCTTATCAGTTTTACTTGGTAAAAAACCGCATATTCGACAGAAATCAGTAATTTAAATCAGCTCAATCTGGCAGTGTCTCACATCAACTAAGTCAATTTGATTTAAAAACTGGTTATATCTTTCACATGGGAAAGTAACGTCTCTATAGTCAAAGGTAATACACATTGAAACTAGGTGACGATAACAACATTTTGTTCACAATGGAAAAACAAGCTGCATGCTTATAGACTTTTTCCAGCGTTTATATTAACCAATAATTGACGCATTCTGGCATTTGTTGTCTATTTTAAGCTAATATGAACATGCTAGTGAAAATGGAGTGAGATGATTTCATTATCTTTGTTACTGGCTAAAATCAGTGTTTTTGCCCAGTACCATTTGTTTCACGTTTAACGTTATCGGGATAATTGAGTCCAATCAACAAGATTATAAGACGAGCACTTTATCTAAATTTTTTATATTTAATTACACTATATTACCTGCTTTGGTTAAATTCTTCTTCCTCTCCTGCCGTTCATCGTATAGCTCACGAGAAATAGTAAATGTATTTACAATTCTTAGCCACTGGTCATCAACTAACTAAATTATTTGTACAGCCACAATTCTTTCACTAAATTATTTCTAATTTGAGGACGGTTGTTTGTACTAAATTAGGTGAGAAGTTGAATAACGCTATTACCTATTGTGAGAAAAAATATTATTTTGTATCACGTTTGTTAAAAACAACGGTTATTTAGACTTTTTGACTAAAATAACATAAACACTACATAGGTAAACCAACTACTGTTGCAAAGTTCAATTTAGAGACTTTGCTTAAAATTCTAACGAAACAAAATTTAAGAAAATTGGTTCATACATGAGAGAAAAAACTAATTTGTTTAATACTGCGTAGGCCTACATCGATATTTATGCTTATTAGGTAATTACCAATTAAACAGCTGATTGTTTAAGCTAACCGGCAATGATGATACCGCAGACTGCAGATATTTTTTGATACGAGGTATTAAAAGTATATAGTTTTTTCAACACAACATTATATTCAGCCAAATTATTATAACCACACTCGTTTCCCGAATTTCTACATGAAGTTCTGTTTTACTCTGAATTAAATGTTACAATTCAACACTTAACACGGATAACACGTTTTTAAGTGTTTATAGACATGAAATATATTTACAACATTATATTAATTGGATGGTTGTTAACAAAATTATAATTTATGAATGAAGTTTTTAGTAGCGAGTTTCTGTTTGTCATAGGCCTACTTATTAGTCTACCGGAGAGTTAAAATAATACAGATATTTTGTAGAGAGAAGAAAGATTCATAACAATCTAAAATGAAAATTTTGCTTGAACGTTCGTATTGAAAGTATTGAAAGCTCAATAAAAATAGCATTCGATCAAGTATCTATACAATTGATCCGCGTTTTTGATTGAAGGGTGTATTCTAGATGTTCTTCGAATCGTTATAAAACCACTTAGAGCTTGGAAATCCAACATCACAAAAGTCGGGTTCCTGAGCCAAAACAAAGGATTTTTTAGCTTTTCACTTCATTGTGAATGATTTGTGAGATTTAATTTTTAAAATATTAGTTACAACAACCACTTCTTTAATAACCTATATATTTTTAACTTATAATATCTAATAATTATTATTGTAGCCAAAGTTATCGATGAATTTTCCATTTCTTACATAATTAATAAATTTGATATTGAGTATTGATATAATCTCTTTACTTAATGCGAAGGCTTTTATTACAATATTATCTATATTAAACATCTTATAATTTTTACTTAACTCGAACCGCTGATATGGTTAAATTACGAGATACAAACAGTTAATTTTATCTAATCAGCAGTTTGCTCAATCTTTTCGAAAACATGTTAAGGTTAATATGGATACTTTTGTGATATTACAAAGTATAACAAGATAAAGTAGCTATGCAGCAAAATAGTATATTTCATCACTAGGGCCTAAAGTGACTCTTTTTGACACGAGGTCAAGTGTTACAATCGAGGCGAAGCCGAGGTCGGAAAATGATCGAGGGTTAAAAGGTAACTTTTTGCCCATGTGGTGAACTATAGTTTTCTTCATATTGCATCATTAATTAACAAAAACAAAGCTGGAAACCCAAATAATGTTTATGTAAAGAAACCTCTCAAAACGACTTCCAGCTTGTTTTCTCTACTAATGCAAATAAGCAGCTGTTTGATAAGTGATTCAATTATTTCGTCTATTACGATTGTGTTGAGCAATCAAGAACAATAGGCTAAAACCTTACCTTATAAATCAATCGATAAATAATTTCGATCGATACGATTGCCACAATTGAAATTTACAACTGATTACAACAGCAGATTTTTACTCCCTAGGGACTAAAAATAATTTTTACTCCCTAGAGAGTACAAATACTACTTACCTACGACGCATGCATTAAAAACGGATGTTTTTGCCGCAGTATGACGACAAATTGTTAGTAGGGAGGTTTTGTTAGTATGGTAACACCAATACCATCAAACAACAATACAAACAGCTGATGGCAAAAAGTACCGTTTTACAATAAATTGTCATGCACTTGTTCATTTCAATCGGATTTCCACACAAATCAAATAAACCCTTATACTGCTTCCGTATATGGTATCTACACACTTGGCAATATTCAGTATACAGGAACGACAACTAATTGCAAACATTTAAGGCGTGATTTATTAGCTGGTCTTAAATACTGAAGAATATCGTCCTAATAATATTCAACTCTGTATGAAGACTGAGTGAGTAAAGTTATAATTAGTTTTGAGCACTAATCACAACTGTGTGCAGGAACGAGAGGTTTTACACATGCTGTGATGAACCATACCTCGACATCACCTTCAACATCACCATGCGAAGGAAAACTCTATTCTACACTGTAAACATCATCATCCCTTGCATGGGAATCTCATTTCTCACAGTGCTAACTTTCTATCTGCCCTCCGACAGTGGTGAGAAGGTAAGTTAAAAGATGTTGGTATTTTACAAATGATCTTGGTAGCGATATTTCAATTGTTGAAATTAAATAGTAGTTCTTCTTAATTGGACCAACTTAGGAGCTCATGGTCCTTTCTTAAAGTTTATCTCTTCTTTAGAAATTCTTGTTTAGTAGTTTATGACAAAACAGCAAAAAATGGAGGTTAAACCAATTTCTAGATCGTTGGTCTTCGGGATATTATTCATATTCCTAATTGTTATTGAGTCGGCGAAGACAGTTTTAGACGATTTGGATGCTTATCAATACGTCTTCGGGACAAACTACAATTCAACTGACATTGTTAAACTGAGTACATTATTATGAAATCGTAGTTACTTCACAATTCCGTATAAATAATTATGTTGATATTTCACGTAAGATGTTATAAAATCTATGTAAGGTTACGAATAAACAACTTCGTAGTTCTTGGCGTGAATTAGATTCAATTTACTTGGGCTATTCTAAGTAATTGTAGACCTTTTTGGTATTTTAAAAGCCCCACCATGTAAAAAAAAAGTAATCCCTGGGAAATTTGCTAAAAGTAGAATACATTACATGGCATATTTCCTGATGAAATATAATTTAAAATCTGTAACCTCTTGAACCAAAATCGGTTATTCGGGATAAACAAAGAATAATATAGAAATTCCTTAGTAATTCCCACTTAGTCTATGTTTCATAAAGTATATTTGTCGCTTACATGTCAAGATATGAAGTATTTGTTTTTCGATAGCAACAGAAGATTTCTGATGTTTCTTACATGGGGTGCAATTCCAACCCCATACGTAGATAGATGTAGGCAGGGCTACGATTTCAGTGGGGTACATATCTCTTTTCAATTTCTAATATAATCATCCATGTTCACTTTTATCATTCCTACATTCAATAAACTAGATTATGTTACAGGCCAACTGCAGCAATTGTACACATAATCTATGTAACCCCCTGTGTATGACGTCAAAATGACGTCGATGCTCGGCAGGGGGTGCGATTCCATGGGGGTGCAATTCTGGTGACCCGAATAATGTCATTCGACACACGGACAAGTTTCGACCCCTGCTTCTTTTTATTTGTAAAACTTGAGCTCGTATAGAAAAGATTTACTGAAGTTTCTAGTGATGAAATATAATTTCATAATTCTATCTATCCTGTGTATTACGTTTTTTGACCAGTCTGTATAAAGATACAAAGATGTTTTTTCCTGTACAAAGATGCATCTTGTGGTAAATTCATCATTTCGTACTTTTTCTAATTTTCAATCAGCTGGTTTAGTTTTAGTTTGTTTCAATATAATAATATAATTCAAACAAAAATAGCGATGGAAACGTTTGAAGCTGACAAATTCATGCATATTCTTTCCTTACGCTTAAAAGTTGCGTAGCATTTTTAAATTAAAATATTTTTTTTCGAGTTATGAGCTCAATACATCTAGTTGACAGTAAACAAGTTGTGCCTTGTCAAGTTACATTCCAACTGAGTATCAATTGATTGAACCTGACAACTGACACCAGCTAAAGGGGTATTTTTAGAGCCTCAACTCGTTAAGTTTTCTTTTAAAAATACAGTTATTAAATTATTAGAAGTTATTTTAAAAATTTTTTAAAACTTAAATATTTAAATTAGGAAATTTATAAGTTTATGAATATTTTTTTAGATAATGTCTATTTAGAGAAGCAACCAATAACGTGGTACAAATATATGTGTATAAATAAATAACTTCGTTATTGTGCAGCTACACGAATAAATTAAAATACATTTTACAACACTATTCGATGTATTAAAATGTATAATGCAACAATTTACAAGAAGGTAAAACTGTGTAAAAATCGTCATGAGACTCGCAATCAGTCTTCGTGCATATTTACCGTCTAGCTAAAGATAACAACTGTATTCTATACTGAATAAATACGTATTATTTTAGGATACGTCTTTTCGATGTATATGAAATGAAGATTGCGGTGTAATACAAATTCTATTTCAAAGTTTACAAACTATACCCATACTTAAACAAGTGATCTTTAACTTTGTACTAATCAGATATACATCTTAACCTGAAGAACAATATTTTACAGCAAACAATTTAGTATCTCAAAATCTCACATTGATGTTTGTAATTTTTGGTTACTGAATTGTTAGCTTTAAACATCGTACGTTTTATCTCATGTTTTCCTCGTTAAGAATAAAGTTATTATAAACTGTTTATGAATATATCTGCACTATATTTTGCCAATGTTGTATAATTTCCTTGTGTACCCAAAAACTAAGTATTCGTTGGGTATGATCAAATATTTTTAAATCATAATGGTTAAGAACCTTTTTTGGGTAAAAATTCAATGAACATACTGAAAATTGGCTTGTTACTCAGGTTTGGCACAAGAAATACATTTTGAATTACATAAGGGTAAAAACATGATACTTATTTATTTAATCTAACGGACATCTCCATTTCTTTCATGTAAAAAACGAAAGGGGTCCAAAAACTCATGATGACTAATTGTAAACATTTACAAGAACAAAAACAGTTGAATAGAACAAGTACATAAGAACATAAGTACGCGGGCAAATGAAAAGTGATGACTTGGCTTATTAACGGTAACTATAACAATGCATGGTACAACAAATTAACAAATTATTCACCCTATAAAGCTTATGCAGGTCAAAAAGAATGACCAGAACAAATAGTTAATAAACGAATTAATGATGACAAATTTGTTAAGGGTACTCATAAACTAATATAAATCCAATTTGATATGACAAGACAACAACAAAAAACCTAAGAGCTAAATAAAAACTGACAAAATATAGGCAATAACCTTCCTTGGTTTAATGTGTTTTATGGAAATTTTGCTATGAAAGACACAAATACTTCATACCTTAACATGTAAGCGAAAGATAATTTGTTTAAAACTTAGACTAAGTGAGGACTTATTAAAGATTTTCCGAATTATTGTTTTATCTTAAATAAACGATTTTGATTTTAGAAGTTTCAGATAGTCTTTGGAATTTAAGTTATATTTCATTAAGCCGTAAGCTAACCCATATGATATTATAATCTAAATTATATATCTCATGTTAACCGTAATCCAACTAACAATGTATTCTACTTTCTTTAACATTTTGGGACTTTTTAATACCAAAGAGGACTACAATGGCCATTAGAATAGCACAAGTACATTGAATCTAAAAATCACGCCAAGAAGTATTTGTTCTTTATATTGTTCATAGTTTGGAATACATTTTACGTGAAATATCAATATAATTTAAATGAGTGTAGAGGATGCATTTAATAATTTCATTCTATATTTTTGTATTTTACCAAATTTAAGCGAAGTGGGTTGATGTTTTCCTGTCATAAAACAGTTCCAAATATGGTAATTTTAAAGAATATAAATTTGTTCCAAATATGAAAATTCTACCAATCGTTTTGTTCCGGATATAAAGATCCTACTCACCATAAATTAGTTCCACATATGAAGATTTTATAGACCACCAATTAGTTCCAAATACGAATTTTCTACCAAACATAATTTTAGTCCCGTAACAGAGAAATTATTTTTACATCCGCCCTTCAAGCTATTGCCAAAACCTCAGTAAAAACTGTGAGACTAAAGTTTCTTAGTGATGAGAAAATACTTGTTTGTTACCAGGATTGTAACTTCTGGCATGCCATGCATTTTTCACAATGGAATTTGTACAAAAAATATTAAGAAATATAATATTCATGTTTTACTTTAGTATCAGGACTTTAAATTGATTCTTTTCTTTCAGGTTACACTCTCAATTTCAATTCTTATTAGTCTCCACGTGTTCTTCCTGCTAGTAGTGGAGATCATCCCCCCGACATCGCTGGTCGTCCCCCTTTTAGGAAAATACCTCATATTTGCCATGATACTTGTATCTATAAGGTAAGTAAATAGAAACAAAATTATTCATGGGAGTTCAAAACAAATGCATTAAGTTAACTCAATATACACATGACAAGAAGGTTAATTGGAAAAGAATAATGGAACACTAACGAAATGCTAATTTCCGGAAAAGAAAACAATGGAATATAAGATAACGTTGTTGCACTTGCTCAATTTTGGTTCTCGTGGAGGATTTTAAATTCACTGTATTTCCTATTTCACATTTAAGTAAACGTTTTAAGACCTCATTAGCCAAAGAGATGCTAATTGCAACAACCTAACAACAACAACAACAACAACAACAAACATAAATTGCACGAATCGAGTAACAGTAGTTATCCGTTAAACAGCCCATTCATTACATCTTAATTCACATCATATTTCTATGGGTTACGGGTAATATTCTACATACAAAAATAATAAGTAGATGCTTTGAATTTATATAAAAAAAATTTAATTTCAATATATGGAAGGAAAAAAGTAACACGAAACTGAATTGACTTAAAAAAACTGTGGTAACCAACATCAGAACAATGGTTTAAAACTTTAAAAATCCAATAAATGTTTTAGTTTATCACAAACCTAGCTGTATGTTGTTGACACCAGAGATTACTTTACAGAAAATAAATCACGGAGTTCGGCATTTATAAAAAAAAGTCCCTAAAAGGTCCTTTCTCCGTAAAATAGCACAAGAAATGTAATAACATAAATATATTTAGGCAGCATCATAGGCTACAACTAGTTGAATAAATAGTGTTATTGTATGAAACATTCAAAAGATGCAATATAAAACTATACTGTAATAGTATTACCACTATTACCATACTATATATACCATACTATACACCATAGTATATTAATAGTATATTACCTTACTAGTCCTGAAAATATGTGTTAACTGGACGAGTGGGATTACCATACGAGTCCGGTAAACACATTTTGGACGAGTGACGTAAGATATTTTATGCTGTACTACTCTAAGCTAACTTGACAATAAAAATCCTTATATATACCCACCAACTAAAGGACTAACAATCACTACTTATAACCTCTAACGGATGTTATGTTTTTGTTTATAACCACTCATTGCCAAATATAATCCGGTGTCCGGTAAAAACTAATTACAGTACAGTAGTAAGTAATGAACCCCATTTGATTAAGCTGGCGGCAAACATATGTTTTCTGGACCGAATCCTTGCGTGGGAAGTTCGTTTAAAACATTGTAGTGGGGCGTAAAATGCTTTTATTTATTTATACTTTGACATAAATAGTAATTTAAAATGCATTAAGACATTGGTTCTGAAATGTGACTATTATTATTTGGAATTTTCCAACATTTCTTGAGTTTAAAACTACACAAAGTTTCTGGAGGTGGATCAAGAAAGGTTGGAAAAGTTAAAATGATAGTAGTATGTAACATGGTTAGTAATTTATCAAAATCAAGAAAGGATCACGAAAGTTTGGAAAAGTTAAAATAATAGTAGTATGTAAAATGGTTAGTAATATATCCAATTATGACTTCGACTTCATAACAATTTTATGTTAGTAGAATTTTTTACAACAAAACAATATAAATGTTATGCTTGAATAACATCAATTTGCCACGGCAAAAAGTTTCAAAGAAATTGTTAATCCTCATTAATGCTATTTGAAATAAACAAGGGAACTCTATTCGTCATTTTGACACTCTCCCGTGAGATGGCATCCCAGTTTTTAAAATCAAATTATGAACGCCAACATTCATGCACAGTGTCACACAATTCACTGAAAAAGAAGCATTTAAATGTTAAATGCCATAACAATGATTTCTAATGATCGTCATATCAGTTGGGAGCTAACATTTGTGGTTTTCATCTTAATCTCATTTTGTAAATAAAACAGTTAGCCTACTTATAATAACTATACAAGCCGGTATAATGGTTTTAGAGTATAGGTGTCTCAAGACTTAACGTAAATTTTAAGGGTTAGTAAATGTTTCATATTATTTAACTTTTAGCCTTATGAAAAGTTTTATGAAGTCCCACCTTCACATCCTAGGACGCAAGTATATAGCCTAGAACCAAACTATTTTTGCACATTACTCCAGGGTAGGTCTATATCGTGGCGTAAACACAAAGATCATTGGTGATTGGCGGGATTTTAACCCGGGACCTCGCCTTGCTCTCTACCACCAGAACATAATACTTAAGAATACTGTCAGTCTGCAACTTAAACATGGAGTTTGTTTACACCAAATACGATAGCCAGCGTATTTCCCAATGCAATTAGGAATGATTTCGCTAACTCGTACTCAAAGAGTTTGATGCGGAGGCAATAGGCCTATCCATTCTCTTTACTAGATGCCAAAGCACAGGTCCAACACCACGCGGGCTTGCGTTACAAGTAAAACATATCGTTAACTTAATTGCCCACCAAACCAAACCAAAACATCCGAAGATTATGCCCATGTCTTACTTTCTTGAAAGACTGGAGAACAACGGGTTGGCCATACCCAAGGTACATCCTTACGGAGTAGAAAGTAAAAGCTGAAAGATTACAAATAAACTCTCCATAGTAATTTGTAAGACCTAAATAAGCCTTCAACTCTTCATTGCAAGTTGACCTGTGTGCGTTCCAAATCGCCTCTAATATATTCCAGCTTACTGACCCCTTAGGAAGACACGTGATAGCCAAGAATTGTGCTTAAGGCTGTATGCATTTGCATTTAGAATTTTTTGCCTTATCTCTATAACTGTCCCAATAGGAGCATGGTGTATGTATTTTTTACCACGGGAAATAATATTGTTCATCAGCTGACTTTAAATCAATTGTAAAATAACTATGCTATAACAACCTTATAGAAAAATACTTAACTGTAGAACATTATTTTATGTAAAAAATATTATATTGGCCTTTTTTACCTTAAAGTTTATCATTACATTAAATCATTTTATTGTTTAGAACCAAGAGGTTTTGTGTGGTTATTTGCATCCTGATGAAAGACAACGTCCACTACTTGGCACGAAAGATCCATTCCGGGACTCGTTAGTCGTTAGACTCGGTCGTAAACCTGCTACAGTTTGATATTACCTTGGATTTTGTTACTGTAATAGTAAATGTGACATAAAATATTCTTAAGGTATAATAATACAGTTATCGATGTAAAAAATGTTTTTACACTTTATTATTTAAGTAAGAATAGAACATGCTAACGAACAAAGCTCCTACGGAAACCGGAAAAAGTCCTTAAAACTGGCCTAAGGAGATCCATGTGGACTAGAAAAAGGAAAAAAGTAGCATGTTTAGCTATTATAAAACAAAGAAATAAAATGGAATAGTGTGTAACTGTTTTTATTGGGAGAATCATATTATTTTCTTCTGTGTCCTCTCATCCCCCCCCCCCCAGAAGCCACTACCTCATATTAAATACTGTGTCGAAATATTATTTAACTATGTGTGTGTTTTTCCAGTATATGTGTGACTGTAGTAGTTCTCAACGTCCACTTCAGATCGCCCCAGACGCACAGAATGGCGCCTTGGGTAAAACGAGTGTTCATACACATTCTTCCACGCCTACTGGTCATGCGCAGACCTCAATACCAGTTCGAGCCTAACAAGTAAGTCAACAGTTGAAACTATTGTAACTCTGGAATCTTGGTCTTTGGAAGATAGTCCCGTCAATGAGTTAAACACGGCTGATGGAGGTTAAGAATGCAATCCATATTCGGGGAAGGTTACAATTCTACTGATTCAGATGAAAACGCATTCGAAGTTTCCTCTTATTTCCCAAAGACAGGTTACCATGTAAACATACCTTCTAGTTTTGCACGGTACTTGTTATCCGATGATAAAAATCGTATTTTTTCACCGGCCCCAATACAAGTTAAAATTTGAAATCATTCTGAAGTTGAAACATCTTTTGAATGCACATCAGTAAACTCAGTACAGTAGACTTTCGACAACACTCCCAACAACAATACTTAAATAAACCTATAAGATTATGACACATAATTTCTACCAAGCAGCAATGTTCATTTTATTAAAAACAAGACCTGATTCGGTTGATCAATACAGTGTTCAAATATACAATGTTGACCTCAATATCGTTAAAAACTTATCTTCTAGATGTAATACTTACCTGAATAACTAAGGTTTATACAAAAAAAAACTACCACGGATATTAACTCACTAATGAACAACTATTAAAGGGACGTTACTGTTCTACGCATTATTCTTTAATGATCAACGAATTTGTCTACCTTGGAATGGAAACAGAGACCAGACAAACGTAACACTCGTTTTACAGGGTGAATAATTCTCCTGTACTGTACAGAAATTGGCCAATGGCCTTTAAACAGTTTAGTTACCAATTAACGTTTAGATACCAAGTGTGTTGGACAATTACGTGTCAGGAGTTGGTAGTGCTAACTGTAAAGCCTTAAAAATTACCTAAATAATCGTATATAGTTTGACCTACAATACTGGCTAACCTTTCAGAAGGTTACCAACCGGTCCAATAAAAAATATTACTTTAATTCCATGCATTGCAACTAAGAATGATTGACATAATAATAATATTATTCATAGATTAGAACATAATTTCTCTTGAAACTCATCCATGGCAATAAAAGATGTCTAAAAACTTATATTTCATTTACGAAAAATTGAGTCAGAATACAAAATTAGTAAAGAGATTAATTTAAACTGCTGTTATCTATCTGTTTCACCCAAGTCTGATTTTCAAAACTTTGCATCACTCAAATTCTATTTAGAATTTAAGACATTTGGGAACAAAGATTTTCACAATTAAATTGCTCAAATTCAATCAGATTTAACTAGAGCTGACTTTTTCGAACTCATTATGGCCCTTTGAGAACAGATCATCGGACGCCAAAGGCGTTTAGTCTAAATTTGATTTGGTTCCTGTTTAATAGTATGTTTACACCTCCACAATCTGTTGAAGCTTTTTGATCCAATCTGTGACGATAAATGATCAAAGGCCACACAATACGTGCTGTGGACAGTAGTTATCTTCATCTCTAGTTACATAGCAATTGATTTGACTGCCTTGTACTTGTGAACGTTCTATCTGCAGTACATGGCTACTTAGACTACGGGTTACAAACCCTCTAATGATTGTCTAACGTCATCATAATTATACCAAGTGTCAATAGAAACAGAGAGTATCATTCTAAAATTATTAAATACCCCCGCTACAGCAAACCTACAGTCCAAGAAAATTTCCATTTGCCTGATTGGTGTTTAACTAATAGTTTCCATCGTGTCAGATTTATTCCCTATTTAAATAACATAAGGTTTGACGAGTTTTGGCGAGGTTTGCTGCGAAAGGGGTGTGTTTTTTCCAGGATTGAGTTTTTTAGTGAAATGTTGATAGCTTAGTATGAAATAAATTTGCTAAATTTAATCCAACTATATCCATAAACAGACTACAAAAATTAAGGCCAGTAAAGTAAATTTTAATGGTGAAGACTATACTAAATCGTCTTATAATACAACTCAAATATTTTTGATATATTTTTTTACCGTACGTTAAGTGTTCCAGTAGGCCCAATGTTTTAAGTAATGAGCGTACAATACAAATTCAATAAAAGTTCGTTTTTTGCAGGGATAATTACTTTATGTCTCTAAGGTATGTCGATTTGATTTGATTTATGTGAATTCCATATTTAACCTGAAAAATTGTTTAAGAACTCTGCATAAAGAAGGAAAATTACAAAAGATATAAGAAAGATACAGTACAAATAAATTTACACACTAAAATATGACTATTCCTTGAAGTGTATATCATCTTCAATTCATAAATGAATAGAATATTTGTATTTGTGTATACTGTAATAATTTATTGTTAGACAATAGTGGTGATTTGTTTGAACGAGAGAATATTATGAACTATTAGTTGATCATTTATACACTTGTATCGCCTTTATTTGAGGCTTGTGTGTCATGGCAATGAAAACCTCGACTAAAATCCTTCTGAGAATAATACGTCAGGATTTAATCTCTCATACAGCTTAACATGCAAAATAGAATGGATTAATCTCCATTTACATAACTTAAATGCCATCTTGCTTATAATATTGATTGTTAATGTGCATTAAAACCTGTTGTAAGGTGTTATACTTTTTTTGTTGTCCTAAGACGCTAGGCAAAAGCCCGGGATTATTTTTCACATTACTTCAGGCTAGACCTAGGGGTTGCGGCGGATAAAATCCATTAGTGATTTGGCGGGATTTGAACCCGGGACCTCAGGGACTGAAATCCCGCGCTCTAACCACTAGATCAGCTCCCCAAGGTGTTATACTTTAAACACTGTCTAATATTAATTCAATCCAAATCTTTCTGTGATCAACTCTATGATATATACTTTTTACCAATCATTATTCTAAGGCTTACATCACTTTAATGATTTTTTAACTTATTCTGATTATTTGTATTTGTATAAAATCCAAAATTAAGTGGCTCAAAATGTATTTATCTTGTTACTTAGTTTGTAAGCTTGGTAATATTTATGACAATGTTTGCTTTATTGAAAAAAATGTGAAATATTGTATTGGATATTTTATTTGTTCAAATTGTTTGATCAATGCATAGCTGAAACCAGTGATTCGCAACGAAGCTAAAACATAAACTAAAACTAATCCTGCCACTGTACATTTTAATGTAAAATTTACAAGGCTTTATTCCAACAAGGACAGTTTCATGTATAAAAGTTTGTTTGAAATCATAGTCAATCGTGGAATAGAAAGGTTTAACCCTATTTCCTTCGATACTTTGTATTTAAAACATGTTGCATCAATTCCAATTTTAACGACTTAATAAAATTCTTCAGAATAGATATATCTGGGATAAGCAATTGAGTCGAAGAAGATGTCGACTGCAAGGAAAGGATCCTTCTTGATCACTGGAAGTCATCAATCGTATCAGCTTACGTCTTTTCAATCACCTGTTGTAGCTTCTTCTACACCTGACAATTATTTATATTCACAAAAAACAGACCAACTCGAAATACGATATCTTAAAATGTGTTATCATAAATTTAGTATTAGTTTATTATGACATCTAGTGACGATAGCTCCCACATTTATTAACAGCGTTTAAAAATGTCTTATGATTTAATGAATTAGTGTAATTTCCCCGTTTTTCTTAAAATAACTACATTAACTTTTGGGACTGGACGAAACACAATGTTTGAAATAAAAAAAGAAAGCCAATTTTGAATTATTTTGAAATGTCTTGGTTTTAAGCCACTTTCAATTTTTAAGTACTTTAAATAATTTTAGAATTGGTTGGCCTAATTTACACCCAAATGAAAAAATCTTCACGTAAAAATGCAATGTTCAATTAACTTTTATAGCCTCGTCTTATTACAATACTAACTGTTTCACAGGACTTCTAAAATAAGCGAGTCAGTGCCTCTATTAATCCGTATTAAAAGCGCAAATGCTATACAGCTTCTCTGTTAGCTATTTACGTTACAAGTGTAGTAAGAGCGTTTTTACATCACGCAGGTTCACCTAAGTGATGTAAAAACGCTGTTACTTAACGTGTAACGTACCTTTTACCTGAACCTGACCCGACAATATACAGGGGGTAACGTACAATATTTTTCATGTCCCCGCAATATACAGGACGGGGTGTAAATAAGTTAATCTACAATATATAAACTAGTTTGTTTTTAAGTGAACTGTTTTTATTGATTACAATAAAATACAGGATATTTTTACTTACAAATACAACATTTAAAACACAACATAAACCTTTCACTCATCTTCCAACAGTTACATTCTTTTTCAAACAAAAGCTAGGTTAGGAAAATACTTCAAAGCATAACACTAACATTCAAGTGCACAGCTGATTTCTAGCGTTGAACGTCGTTGGCTCCATAGAGGTTTATTTTATTAGGTTGAGCACTCAATGTTATTTGAATGGGTTTCATTACTTCACCGAGTGAAGTAAAGAAGTTGTTTACATCACGTTTTGGATAGGGAAGTTTAACATGGCGGGTTGCGTAAAAAAATTAAATGCTATTGATTGCCTTATGGGTACTCAAACAACTCATTTCCACTTCATGCTAATAAAACAATAATTATCGTGCTTCATGTATGAGCTATTTAGGTAATGTAATTTGTGCGTGAAAAATATGAACATTTTATAGTAAACTGTTTGAATAAAAACTTAATAAAACAACAGTAGGTTTTATTTTTCGGAAGGTTTGCTGCAGTAGAAGTATTTTCGTTTAACATCAGATTGTTTGAGACATTTCTTAATCGACTAAACATGAATATATTTTTAAGCTCTGATGTTAGCGATGGTCATGTAAGTTCGGAAAACACTCTTTATTGCATTCAGTCTTTTACAGCAAACTCTACTTTAGCTTTGTACTTTGAACGACCATAAAATCGAAAACCGGAGTATTTAGTGCTTTGTGGAACTTTACAAGATGGGGAACAATGATTGAGAGCTTTACAAGATCCTATTGGACATTTTATTTGCTCCTTTATTTAAAAGCCTTGTGTTTAAGACCAAGACTTAAACTTTTTAAGACTAGGTTTTTATTATATGGTTGGTGAAAAACATTGTGGCTTTGCATGTGTGTGTTTTGCTGTTATTTCCAAACGAAATGAACACAGAAGCTACCATTGATTAACAGACTTCTCTTATCATGTATTCGATCTTAACTTCTATGCATCCACATTTGTCTCTAATGTCTTATAAGTGAGAGGGCACTGCCGATCAAGGAACAGGAATTTCTTTTTGTGTTTTGTAAAAACTAATACGATATTGTATATTAAAGCGTTGTCTTATGCCTAACGGTTACGAGGAAAATTCCAAAAAAGTCTAATTTACAAATTCTCATGTTATTATTTTGGAGAATGATATACAGTAATTGTTGAAGTTGTCTTGTTTATGAGTATATTCTGATCAAATTAGACAAATTGGTTTAATTCATCCTAAGCTTTTAAAAATCACAAAATAACACTTATTATTACCTCCCCCTGTAGCAGCAAACCTAAGAAGTCGTTAATCATAAAGTTATTTAAATAGGAAATGAATCTGAGGTATTTAAGAAATTATATCAAAATCTAATCAGACATTTACTTACTAGGGTGTTCATTTGAAAACTTTCCATATCTGTTGTGTGCAAAGGTAAGGCTTTTAACACTTGTTTGTTCTAATTCTCCCCTAATTTGGACATGCCAAATCCAATAAAATTATTTTCAATTTTAAAGAAATGCCCAAAAGGGCCCAACCCCTACCCCCCAAAGGGGTGCTTTTTGAGAAATTTTCAAATGTAAACATGGGTTGTGTGATACATAAATTTAAAGGTCTAACCACCCCGATCATTTTGGTGCAAACAAATTTAATTATCTTTAACCGTATTTACAGGGTGTGTCAAAACGTTTTAAAAAAGGACTTTGAAGTTAACTACCGTATTACCCTAACTACTGAACGGAACAGCGCCAAATTTCTTTCCAAGCTTATTCTTGAGCTACTCTTTAAAATAACTTGTAGTAAGGACATTTTCCATGTTATATTCTAATTTAAAAAAATATCAAATTTAAAGAATAAAAGAAAGCTTATAACTCAAAATTCTTAAATAGTGAGGTATAACAAATTTCATATCATGTGAAAGGTAATTTTAAATAAACATTTTACGTATTTAAGTTTTCTTTCTATGTCTTACTGTTTAAACATTGCAGTAGAAAAATAGAATTTCCATGGTAAAATTGTAACTAGTTTTCTAATAAAACACATTGCACTTTGCTCAACGATGTAGTAGGATTCATTACAAATTGATCAACTACTTTTACTTGTGTCAATTCATCTTGGACCATTCATCCTGTTCTTTTCTCATTGGTAACTGAGCCAGTGTCAGAAAACTTCCTAATTAAATCATTTACAGCTATATGACTCAAGGTCTTACCTGGATATTTATTGTTAAACACTTTGCTGTTATTCTGGAACATTATTGTCCTGCCCAATAAGTAAAAATAAAGTCTATTTTTTTAAGTGTACGCCATATTCGATTAGGTACTTCAGAAAATAGTACTTTTGAAATTAGTACTACCATTGACTAGTCAAAGGTACTACAGAAAGCGGCCCATGTTTGGGTTTTTGTCATCAGCTATAAGATTTGTTTTTCAACAAGTATTCGTAATAACTTGTTTGTCTATCTGTCTATCAATAATTATGAATTGTTTCCTTCAGTTAATGCAATATTAAATGAGTCTAGAGACGAATATTGGCTGTTTTATTAGAAAACTAGTTACAATTTTACCATAGAAAATTATGTTATCAGACGTCGGATACAGTTTTTTACAAAGGTATTCGTACAATACTAAGTTCAACAGTTAAGTTAACATAGAGATAAACCTGTGGTAAAATATCCTGCATCATTCTGTGGTTGTCGACAGGTTCAACTCAGGTCAAGTACTGATGGCCAGTAGGGTTAGGGGTGGTAAGGAGCTGCAGGGAGGATTTTACCCTTACCACACCACAACTGTAGGTACCAGCGACGACGAGACCTCCAGGACAAAACACGCAGAGACTCCAAGGTCGAGAGCAACCTCCAAGGAGGACCTCTCCCCAGGGACGTAAGTAAACAGTGGAACCTCGATAAGAAGACCCTCAATAACAAGAGCTCTTAATTTTTATTGCCCTTAATTATATGTTATTAAAACTCGTTATAAGGAGTCAACCTGATAACAAGTCATGTTTGATCATCCCCAAGACTTGTTATCAAGGTTCTATTGCTTTTACCATTTTTAATTGAGGACGTAAGGTCCTCAATTTTTATGTTGAATTTCAACCAATTAACATATAAACGTCGACAGCGTTGTTATAAGATATTGAGAGGAGGTGTGAAGCAAAATGGCGTTCTTTGGATATTACATGCATCTGATAGTTCCAAAGGGATTTTTGTTAGATATGTATATATTTAATATAAGCAAATCGCAAATTTGGAATCATTGTTTTTACATAGCAAGTGGTATAATTTATTTTTGACGCCTTATTTTTTTGTTGATCAAATTTGCATCTTTCGTCGTAAAAGACGATAGTTTAATGCTAAAGCAACTGAAACCAATATATATCAGTCAAGCATGTCACAGAATACAGATCGAAGAAATCAGTCAACCTGAAGAGGGGTGATGAAGTTGAAAGATAGGGCAGCCCCAAGCGATTTACCCCTTCTTCAAACTGCACCCCCCTCCGCAAATCCAATTCCAGAATGCATCGTTGCACCAGCTTGCAGTAAGACTTCCTTTAAGTAGATTTCCTTTAGGAATAAAACGATAAAGGTCTTTTAGTAGGCTTAAGTAGTAACCATGTATTGTTTACATCTTGCCCTCATATCTCGTTATTTAAATCTATGTTCTTTACTCACGCGTTTGGAATTTTTTACGTTTTTTGTACGGGGATACTCCGAAAATTCCCTTCAAATCGTGCACTGACAGATTTATAGTTTGCAGTGAAAGACAAATAAAGACAATTTTCAACATAAATACAGGTGTAAAACAACAGATGCAACAGATACAGATTTGTTTCAATGGTAAAAGAGTAGTCACAAACTCATTTTTCCCATAATTTTTATGATTTGTTTGTTTTGTCTAGGTTATCACTCATAGCTATACATCAAGACAACATATTCCAATCACAACTATTGGTAGTTAACCGTACCTTTGTTATAATATTCTAGTTAGTATACTGCAGATACCAAAAATATACTCTCATAAGACACATGTGATTGTGGAACAGCAGCATTTAAACGGAGAAAACTTCGTAAACTTATTAGTTTGACGTTACCAGGCCAGCTTAAATACATATGTATAATGCAACGGTTCTCACACCCACTGCGGCAAACTTAACCAGTTCGTTTATTGAACGAAACAAGATACCTTTGTACGTCCCGTTTCGCTGTAATCACTTCTAGTCACGAGGTTTTGCTACCTCATTAGAGGTGATTGCAAAAATTAATACTCTCAAGAAAAAATTAAAAGTAATGCTTTATTTCGTGGACATGAATAATTAAAAATAGGTCAATGAACTAAGACTAACTGACTGAAATAATTCTATTCATTTTCAGTACATAAAAATTGACGACTATGTCATTATGTCCATTCTCATTAATTAAACTGCACCGCCATTTTACAAAGTCCTTTGACACTGTTTTAAGTCCCCTAGATTATAAAGTCTTTTAAAGTTCTTAGCTAGTGCAATGTATTTTTGTTTAGTTAGCTTTTAAGACTCACTGCGAAAAAAATAGTTTGACGCTACTAAACTGCTACGAAAAAAATTATAAAATACAGATCACTACGCAATGCAGTTATCTCCGATCACTTCTTTGTAGCTAACAAAAGTCTTGTTCTTCAATGTAGCTCTAAGTGTAGAGTATCAATTTTTTAAATGTTTTAACCTGGCTGATGTTTTTAGTCTCATAGACGGAGGTCCTTTTGGCGGAAGTTGTCAGATCCACGGTCCCGCCAGCCACGCCACGGTGGGCTCTCTTCTCAGCGGGGAGAGTGAAGAGGTAAAATTATCTTAAATATTTTAAATTATGTGTGTATGATTACGAAATTATATAAAATAACCTTTCCACCATGCTGTGGAAAAAACTACTGTTTTCAATTTATGCGTTGCGAGACTAAAATCGCTTTTTCTCTCTCTCATACAAAAAAGAAACAGCTTGGAGTCTAGAACTAACAACTGTTATCCATTTTTGCATATTTTTAAGCTTCGCTCGCTGAATTTCCCAAAGAAAAAACCCCAATTTAAAAAAAATATTGAAAGTACAGTTGGAATCAAGTTGGAATCAAGTACATTGGAATCAATAAAATACTACTATTTTAAGTGCCCTAATTGCTTGGATTGTTTTTGGACGATAAGGTAAAATGTTACCATCTTATTGACCACGTAAAAAAGTTACATGAATTTTTGCTATCTTCACCCTTAAGTCGATGAAATCTGATTTATTTTCCATCTATTTCGGTCGTATATCCCACATCCCGTCTACATCTTGACAATATCGGGTTGTAAGAATGAATGGACTTATTATATCTATTCCGTTTGTAGAAAAAAGAAATCAGATTACTGTAATACTTTCTAAAAAATCTAAAAGCTTGCAAACCTGTTTTTGAGCGTCAAACGATTCAAAGTTACCATCCCTTTAGTACGAAACATAGCGTTCCCTAAAACAACACCGTCGAGTTCAATATTGCCTATAACCATTATTACATAGTTTCTAATAATCTTCCTCTTCCCGTTCGTTATAACGGGGGTTTTTCACAAAAATCTCCATTGCAATGCAGTAAATATTTTCAACAAATCTTCCAATGCATCTTTAAGCAGAGTCAGACCACCTGAAACTCAAAAGTGATTTTTAATAATTTCTTTAAAATAAATGCTATTACATAGCCATTATTATGTCTCTCTGTGTTTTAGTTTATTACGTACGCATATTGGTTTTGTATTTTTGACGTAATATGTGAATATTTATGACAAATAAATGAGTTATTGAGTTATTATAGTTTCGTTATTAGCATTTATTTATATATGCCATCGTGTTATTTCACGTCAATATAGACCCTTTTATCTGCATTTAGACAAATTTAACTATACATTTTCTGTAGTTTAATACAAATTTATTAACAAAAATAGCTTCTAAATAACAGTAACATTTGAAAGGCTGCTAAGTAGTAGCAAAACAAGAAGAAATCATATTGGTAGGTAATTTCCAAAGGTAAACAATGTACAAAATTTGTATTTTGCTAATTATTTAGCATAAAGAATGTCGCGGTATGAGAAATTATATAGTTCATAGCCTGGACCGAAAGTGCACGTTTCGCCTTTGATCATTTTCCTACTTTGGTGTCACCCCTGTCATTAAACTCGAGCTCTTGGTAAAATGAATTACTCAAGGCCTTAATGGTGAAGTATACAAATTTCATTCCTACAATAAAATTAAAATACAATATTAACAGGGCACATTACATACCTGATCGTGCTGGGGTGAACACAGATTTTATTGTAAACTGAAAAAACGTGCCTTTCCCTTGAATGTATAGTTCGAAGATGAGTTTTTAATTCACCCCTAGCTTATACGATGGTTGTACGTATATTTAAAGTTTTTTAAATGTTTCAGGTGACGTTGTCCGCGCTCACGGACGAGTGCAAGAGTCCTGTAATTCTTCGGAACCCCGCGTTTTCTCACACGTCCTGTCCCCCAGCCATGCACAAATCATGCTTCTGCGTCCGCTTCATCGCAGAGCACACGAAGATGCAGGAGGACTCGACCAAGGTAATGAACATAACGCAGTCTTTATATCTGTGATACATTAACATTTCATTGTTGAAATAGGTCCTTCGGGATCGATGGCCTTGTTTACAAGGCTGATTTGTTGATTTGTAGGTATTGGTTTGTTGTGGTAGTATCTCTGGCAACCACAATAAACTTGAGTGGTTTCTAGCACTAGGGCTGGTGTCTAAAGCAAAGTCCAACAACACCCCGTCACTCTCATGTACTACAACGCTCACGGTGGAGGAAGACCCTTTGTCCTGTGCGGTAAGAACTTTAGCATAGTGCTCGCCGCTTGGACTCTTTCTTACTAGTTACAAGTACAGGGTGGGCTAGGGAAGTACTCCTATCTTTGAAGGTACATTAAAAGACAACCGAAAATATTAGATCCAAACTTCAAGGCATCTAGGGTATTCTCGTGAACTACACTAGGCAGCATCACTCCAATAGAGCATATTCTGCTTATTTACCACTCCAGAAATATGGAAGTGCGTCTCGTCACTAAACAAAACCCGAGCAACATGAAGCAGTCCCACAAAAGATTTCACATGCTTGCATTCGTTGTCGCCAGTCCCGTTGTGTGAGTTCATGTACAACTACAAGCTTGTATGGATGGAGGTGTAAACGTTTTCAAGTTTTCGTTACCAAGGTAAACGTTTTCAGGAGTTCGGACGGTTCTTTGAGCTCCAAGTATCCTTCGCAATACACCAACACATAAACTGAAGTCCTTCGCCCACACCAAAATGTAACAGCTTTGCGGCAGGCCATCCGATAACAAGTTCGTAGCGCGCGCTAGCTGCACAGCAACAAAAGACTGATTTTTGAACAAATGCATCTGGAGTGCAAAAGCACATTGCTTACTCGAACAAACCATGTCTACTACTGAAAATGATATTCTTAGAAAATCCCAAAGCAACAGCGTCATTTGAGCCTAACTCCATTCCTATAGCACACCCCCACTACTCACAGTGCCATCTTAAAAGTAGGGATATTTCCCTGCCCCACCCTATATATTTCCATTACAACATACCAGAGCTGAATGAGCGCGGTAGTCCCATAAGCGTGTTTCCGGTGTACCTTACTTTTCTGTGACAGAACTTTGTAGAAAGCTTTGAATCCCTCAAGATTTTAACAGTTCCATCAATCACAAGTATGTACAACAGTAATGTACACAAGCTTGCTACATTTTCCTTCCTAGGATCCTAAATCCTTTTCCACGACCACCATACACCCCATTAGAGGAGCTAGAGACCTCAGCATTCCCCTCCACTACATCACAAGATACAGTTAGAAACCATCTTATAATGGCTGCAACACTTTTTATTCTCTCCCACTGCGCATAAAAACCCTAATTGAGAGAAAAATTAAATTAAAAAAATTGCTTGGAACTAGCTCTAAAATCAACGAGTGTACTCCATGGAGGAATTTTTGACCAAGAAGATAATAGAAAACCAAAGAATCCAAATAATTACGGTATATCTAGAACAAATATCTATTCGATGTATTTTGACGGTAATGAATTTCTTCAAAAAATAACAATTGAAGGTTTTGGCCTATTGTCTATTGATTAAGGCTAAAAATTCCTCGGACAATGTTCCAGGGAGGTGTTTAGAAGTGCTCATGTTAATGTTTGTGTACAGGTGAAGGAAGACTGGAAGTACGTAGCCATGGTCCTAGACCGTCTGTTCCTATGGATCTTCACCCTCGCAGTCCTTGTAGGCACGGCAGGTATCATCCTCCAAGCTCCTACACTCTACGACGATCGGATACCTATCGACAAGAAGTTCTCAGAATTCGCAGCGGCAACGGTGGTGCGTTGTCCACCTCCCCAGTAGTCGCATTACCCCTTTCTAAAACCATCTTTTACGGCCTTCTTATATTTTACCAAATTATCATTATAGGACCTGTTATAATTATTTTAGGTCATTCTGAAATTCTGCAGTTGTTTTACTGATATATAATCTACAATAAGGGGTTGTGTAACCTTTTGGATTGCTAAGTGATTGGTTTGAAGTTAAACTACCACGGTTTCGAAGATCTTGGATTCATTTCCAAGTTTACATGGACATTAAGCGTGTTCAATCCTCTTCAAACGCACAAAAACATTTAAAAAACTTGGACTTCGCATGCATGGAGCCGGCGGACAGTAATATGGCCACACATCTGCCTACTCTACGCACGCGTTGTCCAGAACGTTTTTAATTATGGCCACGCTGTTTTCCCATTTAAAAACCTTTGACGTTAAGAACCACTGTAGTTTATCTACTTTGAACGGATCATTTGGTAATACACGAGGTAGTGTAACCTATTTATCATAGGAGTCAGAAGATATGCCTCATAATAATAAATGATCCGATAGGAAAGGATTTGGATGTATACAATTCTACGATTATTTCCCTCAGGTCGAAAAATCATTTGGATTTTTCTCTTTAAACTTACTATTGTTTATGAACCACAAAACGAGAAAAATGTACCACAAGCCAAATTTTTAGGTGTACCACTCTGTAACTCCTAAACGTATAGCTTTAGAAAAATAATGTCAAGAATAAAAACGATTTTTAGTTGCATTTAAATTCTAAAACAATCATAAAATACAGGGTTTTCCATAAGAAATAACAACGTTTTTGGCCATATTGGAAAATGGTGGACATATTTTTAAGATTAGAAACCATCCCAAAAATCATCTTTAATAAAAGAGAGTACCCCATAAAAAGTTAACTCACAAGTATCAAAAATACTATCGCAATGTAAAATATCTCAATCAACGAATAGGTAAATTGGAGCAAAGAGTTGAATCATAAAAATATTTTACTTTCAAATGGTACCTACCACTGAACGATATTGTTGGAAGATTTTTGAATCCAACTAAAGGATTATTTAATAATTTTCCGAGTTTACTTAAAAATTTTTTTGTGTGATATAAATTATTTTGTAGGTCAGTTTCCTCAATAAGTTTAATTTAACGAAATCTGTCTCAACCATGTATTTACGTATAGAGGCTGTGAAAGATGATATCCGTACCCATTAACTATAGATATTGTCAATCGTTAAAATAATACAGTTATAAAGCAAAGGGCTGCAACTTATTTTTAAGATGGTTGTGTAGTACGTGTTGGTAAAATAAAATACACTTTAAACTTTAATAAACATATATTTCATAGTAGTAACCGATGTTTTGTACTTATATTAAAGAAATAACTTTATTCTACAGTAAGGCGAACAATAGATTTTTGTTTTATCTGAGACAAAATAAACTGTAATGGAAGTGTGTCAATTGAAAAATGTTAAATTGAACGTTTGTGTTTTAAACTAGTAAAATCTCATAAATGATAATGATAAATATATATTAATTAAATCAAATAACAATATTAAGGTGTAACATCTTAAAATGAAATACTAAAAAACGGAATAAAGTAACGGTTAAACGCCTAAACAACGGCTTGGCGTGCCTTCATGTTGTTTTGTCTGGGAACACGATTCTTGTTATTAAAATGTTAAAACGAATGTTGTATTATAAAATATCTAACATAAACAGTTTAAAGTTGTTATTTAATTTTACGATAGTGTTTTGTTGGGTTATTGTTGCGTGCTAAATATCACGTATTGAAGAAAGTTTATGTATTTACATGACGAAGTGTATTTACACCAAATACAAAATGTAGTTGAATCATTCATCATTGTTAACTATTTTACCAATATTATCATTGATTATGGTAAAATTGTTTTCTACTACACCCATTTTTCTTATTTACATTAATGGAACTCATCTAGAAATTATGTTGAATTTTACATGTGTTTACAACAAAAGTGTTTACTACGGATGCAAAAAATTTAAATTTAACTCCAAATTGTAAAATATAATATATTTGAGTTTTGAACCCGTATTAATGCAGTAAAAAACTTAACTTAAGGTTAATGAACTGTTTAAAAGTAATCTTATACTAAGGTAACTTACTGTTTTAGGTTTAAGTGTAACAGTGGTTCCCAGAAAATGGATTGTTTAAATATATTTTATTTATATCGTTGCAAAGTGGGTATGCAACAAAATGACAGGTATACATCATACCATTCAGTATGCCAGGCCATATTCAATGATACCCGAACTAAAAGATGAAGTGGGACGGGAATTCATATTGTGTTTTATACACTAAAAATATTTTTACGTAAGATATACTTTCACAAGAGCCGAAGTCTTTTTAAACTGTATTGCCAAGCAATGTATAAATTTCGTCAAATTGACTCATAATTAAATTATTTATATACATTAGTCGTAAAAATATAATATTTATTGCATGGTAATTACTACCAATATACCATAGTACGAAGTTTTTGTTAATAGTTGTGTACAAAGGTTTGAGGAAATGTCAAAATACAAAAGCTAGGTTTGCATTAGGTTTACAATGAGGATTTTACATGAAACTTATTTATAATACTTTAAATTGGTATTTAAATCAGGCGATGTTAATGCGCTATTGGTGATAGGATGATTTTTGCTATCAAACAAATATTAAAAATTGTAAAAGAAAATATTTCAACTTTGTTTTAAGATAAATATCTGAATCAGGTGTTTAATATGTCCTATTCAAAATCAAATATAAAAATACGGGCAGGGAATTGCTACAATTAATAAAGCAATTGAAACTTGCAAAACCCACGTTTATTTTAAGGGTAAATTCATGGACAAAATCCATGTGACTTAAATAAATTTCTTTGGATAATTTTATACCAAATAGTTTATGAGAATAGGACACTTTGGGGACCTTTTCTCCAGTTATCTTTGCAACAATCGAATATGCTTGATTTAATTGGCGTATATTTTTAAACTTTTACAGAACAACTCTATGAAACAAAAAGTGATTTAAAGAATATTTAAATAAATGACTATGTAATATTAAATCCTGATATCTTAGATACCACCACTGAAATAACAATTTTGTAAATATGACCGTAATAATAATTTATACTCGAAAATTTCAAGCCAGCTTATTCAATAGTTAAGTAAATAACAAAAAATCATCCGAACAACCCAAATGCAAATCTTTGTTAATAATACCTTATAGAAATCCGAAAAAGAATAAACCAGCTTTGGTTGATCGAATAGGGGAACCAAATATTATAGATTGAATACATTAGACTAATTATTGTTCATTGTGAATCCGTTCTATATGATGTAGCATAAACTACATTACTTAGACACAAGCGATGAGGATTTGAAGACTTGTTGTTCATTGATTATTTGTTTTAAAGTTGGTCATTGTTAAGGCGATGGTTGGGTAATATTAGTTATATTTTTTAACCTAATTTCCATTGAGAAATAAAAATAAATAATTTAAAAGTTGTCTTTTGTGATTACGTGTCACAATTTAACACTGAATGTAATGATGATATAACAAGTATTCCTTACACTGAAACAGTTATGAACATCGAATTTAAACAGGGATCGAAAATATGTTATTTATTGTAAAGTTTAAAGTAAATTTATATAGGTAATGTAAAACAACGTTAGCAAAAAATGTCCAATTTTATAAATACCCCAAGCAACTTAGTAACCCAGAGTGTATGATTAAAATATTTTGAATATGAAATTACAATTGTTTTAATTGTTTTTATGTCATAGTTTTAATGGTTATATATAATTTGAAAAAAGGATGTTACGAGATTTTAAAACCTGAGTGTATTAGTAAACAAATTTTTAACTTTTTACCAAAAGTTGTTAATATTATTTAATTTAGTACATTTTCTTGTGTATTATTGATATAACATTACAGGGAACAGCTACTTAAAGCTCTTTCATTTCTTTAAAATATAAAGGTACTTGAAACATAGGTCTATACTTTACATTGATATTATACTGTTTCGTCATGAAATAACACTATTGTATTCATTTAAGTTTGAAGTTTAGTTAAAACTTGTTAAATGGTGCAACAAGTTTTAGGATATTTTGTGGTTGTTAGAACATCATTAAACAAAATATTACTGGCTATTTCAAATCAGTGAACAAAATTCGTCATAAAAAAATTTAAAATATTATATATAATTCCTTTGCTTATTCTTTTTTATCAGTATAAAATGGAAATACAGTTAAATAGTGATGGATAAAAATACTTCAGCCAATGGAAAATATTGTACTGAAAAAAACAGAATTTTTTAGACATGCTTAAGTTATCTGTGACAATTAAGTCAGTGTTAAATAAATGTAAAAGGTAAGTTAAATGTTGTTACGTTGTTAAAACTAAACTAATAAAATGTATATTAAATAACCATATAAATTAAATGTTGTAGTGTCATAGTACAGTATGTAAATAATAAATGGTTAAAGAGTCCTGCGACTGTGAATGTTAAGTGAATCTCGTGTATAATAGTTTTAGTTACGATTAAGATCGGTCATAAATATAACTACTGCTCATAACTAATTAAAAATTGTAGAAAACTCTTATCTGTTATTAATCAACTAAACATTTACAGTGGAAAATTTGATTTCTTATAAAATGCTAAAAGACAACTTTATTCATAAAAATCGCTCTTTCTCTGGAGCCAATGTCAATAAACTGTTGAATTAATCTAGCTCTGTCAGAAAATGTTGTTTAAAAAAAAACACCTTAAAACTTACAAAATTGCCAGAATAATTTTGAAAGAAAATCTGGTTTAATTCGATTGTAATTGGACTTTGTATATTATTATCAGTTAAATAGTATCAGTAAAAAATATCTATTCAAAGAATACAACATGTTTATCAAGACGATAATATTTCACAGATATGTAAACATTCTAAACACATTAACATAAAATGGTATAGTTTACAACAAGCAAAGTGCATCACCGATGGCGATCTAGTAGAATCAAACCAATATCGTGCATCAAATGACATATTTAAAGTAAAACCAATTTTACATTATTATTGATTTATAACAAATCTGAAAAGAGTATTTTTACCTCTAAAACTTAATCCTCTTTAAGAACCTTTTATCATCTGTGTTTGCATACAAATCCTTATATCCTATTTGCCTGTTTTGGAGTAGGAACACTTATAAATCTAATTCTGTAAAATGCAAAAATGTAAAAGTAAATGTAAAAATGTGTAAAATGTACAATGCATTTCCAAATTGGCGTTTTAAAACTTGTATACGTTATGTCTGTAAACCCCGATAAAATGTTAAATCTTTGCAACGAGCTTAATTTATATTTAACCAAATTATGAATATGATAACTGGGTTACATACCTTATAAATCCGACAAACAGCTCATTTTTTATTGAAGGTCATCAACATGTTTCGGCTTGTATCGGCCATTGTCAAAACGTCGCAGTTGGATGGTGAAATCCTTGTCATTGTTTGATTGTCAGTATGCATCCTGACCTTGACAACGGTGTGCGGCCCGCGTATTTTACGTAATAGGTATATTCAAAGTTTTATTCGTTTTCGTAATGTCTTCTTCCCGTCCATGTATGTGTGTTTGTGTATGTACTTTTAGTAGGAAACAATGACAAGGATTTCACCATCCAACTGCGACGTTTTGACAATGGCCGATACAAACCGAAACATGTAGACGACCTAAGAGCTGTTTGTCGGATTTATAAGGTATGTAACCTATTTATCATATTGAATATTACAGCTCAGGAGCTAGAATGGAAATGAATTCAAATTATGAACTGTATTTTGTATATTGTTTACCTTCACAAGTTAACTCCCAAAGTATCTTCCATCTTGATTTGTTTTTATAAACGATCAGTTGTTACTGAAGAGTCTACGATTGCGTTTTCCATGTCACTTAATTTTCAAAGTTTAAAGTGGTTCAACTACCATTGGTCGTTAATAAATTACAATTGTTAAACTAGTCCTGCTCTCAACACACTCGATTGTTCAAAACAAAAGTTTACAAACGATAAAACTTCGTCTCCTGCAAATTCGTATTTACACAGGGATAACAATAATTACTTCTCTTGTAACGCATGTATTAAAAACCTACGTTTTAACTGAATTAAGACAAAATATAGATTGTTTAGAATAAACCCGTAACTATATAACACACCAAATAAAAATGTATGAGCAAATAGATTTTGCTCTTCTGATAGCACCACTCTCTGTTGTGGTAAAGAAATATTCTTCTTTTAAGTAGATGTTATTTGAAAAATACCTTAATGTCCCAACGAAAAATTACGCTTTTCCGGCTTTTCCAGTTCCCCGTCCATGTGAATTGTAAATACCCTTTTTGCTGATATTTGAACAAAAGTTGATAATTAATAAACCTTTACATATAACTGATAATGTATACAGACAACACTTGGTATACAATCTTTTAGCGAAAACCCTTTTATTAATAAAATAAACAGTTACCTTGTTCAGTATCCTTTGGTGCTATTAGATGGTCATCTAATAGCACCAAAGGATATTGAACAAGGTAACTGTTTATATTATTAAAATTTTCAATATCCAGTAGTAGGAAAATGAACTCTGAACCCTTTTATATTGGTGTCCTGACTATTAAGGCTTGTGGTTTAAATTAGTAAGGCTCACTACATACTTATTGCTAAGGAACATCTCACCTAAAAATGTGATGAAGGGATTCTATTGTAAACATTCTATTCTATGCTAAAAGACGCAAATAAAACTCACCAGCTGTGAAACAATTGGTATGAAAAGATTAACAATATTTCTGGCTAGCTTCCTTCAAGAGGCTTTTTTTGCTGAAAAAGTTGAAGCAAGAAAAATAACTCTAAATGTTTGTAAGGTTTACATATTAT